TGCAGTTTGACCCCAACATGAATTCTCACATTCCAACACGTGCTACAGTGACGTCAAAAGCAAGCACGCTCGTTTGTAAGCTCTAGCGCTGATCTGACCGCAACATTAGTTTCACGTGTGAAATTACAAAATTTCCATGGCAACGTTCTGCGCGAAATTTCTCGACTCAATAAATAAAATCAAAAGCCCACGATTGTAAGCGTAATTTGTCACCCACGATATTGAAAGGTGATCAAATGGAATACTCGTGAAATTAGGAAATAATTTCTCTTACGTTTTAGCAAAATTCTAATAAATTTCCTCGCCTAAAGACTCGGGAAATTATAAGAATTTTGACAAAACACGNGTGATCAAATGGCATACTCGTGAAATTAGGAAATAATTTCTATCACGTTTTAGCAAAATTCTAATAAATTTCCTCGCCTAAAGACTCGGGAAATTATAAGAATTTTGACAAAACACGTGTGAAATTATTTTCTAATTTCATTCGTCACCATTTGATTACCCACATTTATTCATCGCTGATTACCTCTGCATTTGCCGTCGATAAAGTACAGATCTTGTTCGCATTCACACTTGTACGAGCCGCGAGTGTTGACGCACCTGTGGAACTCATCCGTGCAGTTGTACAAATCTTCATCCAGGCATTCATTAACATCTGATTAAATTAATACAACAAATAAATTAACATTTTCCTTTTTTTCTTCGTCCAACAGTTTGGTTGTAGGCTCGACACAAAGCACATTAATCATTTATTGTTAAACTCTGGCCAAATGGACTCGCAAGTAGTCACAAGTAGCCGCAAGTTGACTTGGGTTGGGTACATGGTCAAACGGTGAAAAAATTGAGTCGACTTGCGTGCAAATTTGATCGCGACCAAAGTGAGCGCAAGTCATCGCAAGTCAACGCAAGTGCACGCAAGACCTGGACAGACGGAGTCGCAAGTAGACCCAAGTTTTCAACTTGCGACTTGCGAGTCCTTTTGGCCAGGGCCAGGGGCGGCAAGCAGCGAGGCCTGGAACCGAGTTTTTATGATTTCCCCAGTTAAGAAATTTGTGGAAAACAAACTTGACGGACTTCCGTGAGCGAGATGCGTTTGTAAAGTTTTGTAAACGTCGGACATATTTCACGTTCAAACATCTAAGAAAAGTTCCAGTTGTTCTACATCTAAATCTTGGACATTTTGATCGAGGCATCTGGGATAAATATTCGAACGCAAACCTGCGAGTGGGTACTCCACAGTGTGAGCCTGATTGCAGGCATGAATATTTCATTCGAGCATTTTTTGTAGCGGTGTCCTATCAACGGGATAAACTGAAGTATTTCTATATTTCCGGACTCCCTGATGGTAAGGGTTGCTTTTTTTGAACAGCTTAACAGCTTCGTGACCCTTTTTGTTTGCACTTAACTGACAGGGTTAAAGCAGGTGTCATAGTGAGTGCAATGGGTACGACGCTTTTCTGTTACGTTACGACAAGAGGTCTGTTTCAGTTTCAGGCAAAGCGTCTGGCATTATTTATGAAAGTGAATACTTGTAGGTCCCTCGGCAGAATTGAGAGTTCATCACCATCTCTTTGGTTACAACACAAAATATTTGTGTCGTTGATTGTTTTTGCTTCTTCATAATCATCATTAGACTTTTGTTTTGATACTCTTGACTTAACGGCTTAAATAATGGGTCCAATCAAGTCGTTGAGATGGAGAGTGTGCAGGAAGTTTGACTTTACCACCTCATTTTGTTGCTGTCTATGTAGCCCTTTCCCTGGCACTGATTTTGTGTGCCACCTCTCAATCAGTTTTCAAAGGATTCATGCTCCTCTCTTGCACCAAGAATTGNTTCATGCTCCTCTCTTGCACTAAGAATTGTCATTTGAGACAAGTACTATTAAAGACTTCATTCATCTGACCTTGTATTAGTCTGCCTTATTATCTTATTTAGCTATCCTTCCATTACAGGAACAAGCCACTGATAATCAACAGTTTAGGCCAAATTTGATATATTGATATTCTTACTCATCTTTTTGCCATAGAGGAATAAAACAAATCTGATCCTTTGGTTACCGGTCATTTGATTAGCCCCTAGCCGGTTAGCCCCCAACCTCAAGTCGATTAGCCCCTTTCTCATGCTTAGAGAAGAAGAAATATACAGTTTTTTTTTTATTTCTGGTTGGGGGTTTATCGACTTCTGGTTGGCATTTAAATGGTTTGGGGCTTATAGCCTTGGGGGCTAAATAACTGTTGCCGATCCCTGCGCTTGATGTCTTCTCTTGTTATTCTCAAAAGGCTTAAAGCCAAGTCTCAAAATTGGCCTGTTTGAGATGTTGTGGAGGTTCTGTTGACTCAGGTTTGCCCAAGTTCAAGTTAGTTGTCTGGACGAATGACCATTTTACCTGCCTACCTCATTACTAGCACTCAACTACAGTTAACAGGGCTCATTGGCCTTCGCTGGGTCTATTTCATAAATCATCTCCCTCAGCCCCTACTTTGATATCCAGAAGTATTATAGAGCTTTCGCCCACCACACAGATAAAACTGATGCTTATCACCAGTACAAATTATGCCAAGGCATGTGAGCAGAAGCTGCTTTCTTTATTTTCACGGGTCAATAACTTGTAAATGAAATACCTCAACCTACTAAAGGTTCACATTGAGTCTGTGACTAGCAAATAGTCCATTTTGGACATTCCCATATGCAGAAGCAGAAAAATGATTTCAAATTTGCGAGTTTACATTGGTACTGAACAGTAAGGGATGGAGGTTTCAAAACCCCTATAATTTATCACTGTATTATCGAGACATGCAAACTGGTAGCTATTTTCAGTGCCGTTGACTGATCTGCAACTGCCTTCAAGTTTCATGATTTAAATTTACTCAAAAGAAAGTCTTCAGACTCAACATATTACAAAAAATCATAAAGTAAATGCAGTATTTCATAAGACAGTAAGTTAAGACGGAAAACACTTTAGACAGAAAAGCTCGTTAATGTAAGCTCAAGTTTAAATGTACAACTCCAAACAGTTGAGAAATATTTTAAAGACTTACGTTTGGAGGCTTAGCGATATATAATGGGGGACATGGAACAGTCCGACATCGCTATTTTCCATAAAAATTAAAGAAGAATAGTTGGTCGATGTAAATATGGAAGGTAGGTAATGAACCTTGAAATTTCCACAGCAAAATAAAAACTTCAGCTTCGTTTTCCTCCTGAGACGGAGATGCCTCTCCAGGCAACCAAGAATGCAATCACGCTCGCCAGGAAAATAGTACAAAGCTGTTCCTTCACACCCTTAGTCCTAATTGTCTCAGAACTGTCGCTAAAAGTTGCTAACAGCGAATAAAGTTATCGAATCGAAGGCAAATCCTGAGCAATAATGGCGGCGAAACATGTTTCGGTTTCCTCGCGTTATTTTCGCGTTTTGCGCATGCTCGTTAGGGTTCTCAACTGATTGACAGATCTCTTTACTGGGGCGATCATAGAAACCAGAAAAACGGCGTGATCAAAGGTAGCTGCCAGCCCCCCTGGCCAGGGCTTTAAACATAAATCATCATATCAAAAGTAATGAAATTAGACTAACGATTTCATNAATAAAGTTATCGAATCGAAGGCAAATCCTGAGCAATAATGGCGGCGAATCATGTTTCGGTTTCCTCGCGTTATTTTCGCGTTTTGCGCAGCTCGTTAGGGTTCTCAACTGATTGACAGATTTCTTTACTGGGGCGATCATAGAAACCAGAACAACAGCGTGATCAAAGGTAGCTGCCAGCCCTCCTGGCCAGGGCTTTAAACATAAACCATCATATCAAAAGTAATGAAATTAGACTAACGATTTCATGCTAAATACCTTCACATTGGTAACCATCCTTGTTCAATTCGAATCCTACTTGACATGAACATTTATAACTTCCTAGGGTATTTTCACAAATCTGGCTGCAGCGATGGAGAGGATCAGCTGGATCACATTCGTTGATGTCTTTGAAAATGAAAACAGAAAATTAGATGGTAGGTAATGATTTTAACACTGGTACGGTGTGCTCCATCTCAACAGCTAATATTTCATAATCTTTCTGTATTGTTAAGTCATTATATCAGATAAGTGAAGGTGGTGCTATAATATTCAATATTAGTATAAACCTGTAAACCTTCTATCACGAATGTCGTTCTCTTATTGGTTACGCTACTCACTATCTTTTCTCTCACAGTGAACGATCGATATCAAAATGCCGGTTTCTTTGCGTTTTCGAAGTGTCTTTGAAGAAGAAGATTTAGAAAATGTTTTGAACGACTAGTACATTTATACCAAATCAATAGGCCATTTTTGACTTGCCTTTTGCCTGTGTGCCAAAATTAGTCTTCTTGCAAAACCTTCCTTCAGGCTCATATTCATGCAAATCAAACTCATATAAAAGATTTGCACGAAGACTCGTTTTGAAACAGAGGCACAAGGTAACTCGGAAATGGCCTCTTAGATTATTCGTTTTTCATTTCTATGCCTGATGGCTGGCTCAGGCTGCTCCCTTGTCATCT